CGGGAAAGCGCTGAGGCAACGTTTGTAGCACTCAATGAAATGGAGGAAAATCTGCGCCGCTTGGGCCTACGCGAGGAGACAGGCGTTGCCGCAGGTGACTCCGCCCGTATGAAAGGCCCGCAGGAGTACATTGCATCGATAAAGGCAGCAAAGGAGGACGCAATGAAGCTGCGGCACGAGAAGGAATACCGGCAGTTCGCAGCGGAGGAACAGAAGCGCGAGAATGAGATGATGCTCTCTGTCGTCAATAAAGAGAAGGCGCTGCAGGATGTCATAAAAAAGGCGCAGCTGCTGCTCGAGCGGGAGACACAGAATGCACAAGAGGTGACATCCAGGCGTGTGCGCAAGAACACGGAGCGCGTGTTGCGAGCAGAGGAGCTTCAAAAGCAAAATGTACTACGAGAGCGGGTGCATGAGGCGCTGAAGAGCACGTTTACAAGTGCCCCAGTTTTTCTGCAACTGACTTCCGCAGCTGACGAGGACGCGAGGGCGGCTCGGAAAGCACAAAAAGCCAACGCAGCGCGCGAGTACTGTCACAGCATCGCTGCCGGCGTGGTGGAGCTGTCACTGAAGGTGGCGGAAGGCGTGTATACCACCAGTTGCCTGAGTGGGGCGACAGTACACCGCATGTCGCGGGATCTGAGTATGACGCAGAGGCGTGCGTGGATGGACGAGCTTGTCTTCCCGAAGAAGGCGGCCAAAACGATGAGTGACGTTCTCGCCACGACTACTCTGCGTGAGCTGCGTGATCCGAATTACAAGAGCCACAGCAACCATAGGGAGGAGACGGTCTCTTCGTCCCACGTGATAAGTGAGGCCGGTGTGCGGGAGGATGCGGAGGATTCTCGCGACGGCGTCGACGGTGGCAACCGCACAGCAGCGACGGGGGAGACCATTATTGGACGTATCGCGGAGATGCAGATGAAATACGAAAAGGGTCTTATCTCCCGCGGTGTGGCAGATGCGGTGCATATCATCAGGCAGGAAGAAGAAAAGAAACTCCGCGTCGCCCTGGACGAATTGCGGCGTCAGCATGAATCTCAGTGTCACGAGGAGGCTGCGCCTGGCTGGATGCATCGTCTGCCACCCGCCGGCTGCTTTGTGTACGGCGACGAGCTGAGTGGTTTGAAAGTGCTTGCCGACACACTGGGCAATGACAGTACGCATGACGCGCCGCCGTCGCAGACCAAACGACGCGGGAGCGCCGTTCTACAAGCGGACCTGCAGAGGTCGCTGCAGGAGACGGACGCCAGCAAGTGGGAGCACGGGCCGTACCGCATCCTCGTTCCTGCTATGCTCATCCGCACACCGCAGACAGCAGCAGGACAAGGAGGCTGCGGCAGCGGTGGCGGCTCAGCAGCAGCTGGCTCCAAACCCACGAAGGGCGGCAGCACAGTTACATCCGGCACCTCTCGAGCAAAGGAGAATAAGCAGACAGAGGATGCGATGGAGTCAAAGCAGTACATAGATGCGTTGTGTGATGCCCTCACGAAGGAGCTTATTGCGGTGTATCAGTACAATCTACAGTTTGTGGCGCGCAAAAACTCCAGCTCGGTGAGCACTCCTCTGGCATCCGCCGCGTCGGTACGAACTCTATTTCTTATTGGATTCCCAGAGACAGAGACGTTTTGGCGCACTCTACATCAAAAAATTCACGTCGCAGTTGAGGCTGTGGAGCAGGAGATGAACAAGGCGCTCAAGGGTGAAGAGGTGAACGAAGAGCCGCACCCGCAGCCGCTTCCGAAGATGAAGTCGTCGTACAAACCAGCAGCTGGGCAGGATGGTGGCGGTAAGACACGCAAGAAAAACTCCAAGCACCTGATGTCTCCCGGTGGGGGGAAAAAAAGTGCCACTCGGCCATCCGTGACGTGGAATGAGGAGGACCTCACGCCACCACGCTGTCTCGTGTACCCGCCGCTCTGCCTTCTTGGTGTGTTTCTGCAGTACGATGTGTCTGCGCGCTACAGGCGCATGCAGGCGGCCTGCCAGTTCAACTCCCCGATCTCACAAGGGCAGCGCAGCAACAGGAGGGTGACAATCGACGACGAAGGTGGTGTAGACTCGTGCGCCGAGTGGTCAAAAGAGAAACTCCGCCATGAACTTATCCACCAGGACCGCAAGATGCGACATTGCTGGGAGGCATGGTGCGCGAATGTCAGCAAGCCGTTCGCGCCACACGAGCCCGAGATCGAGAGGGTGTTTTCGAACGAAAAACTCAAGAAGCGTTCGCGCCCCTCGCTGATATTAAAAGCATGCGAGCCTGTGTCGACGAACCTTGCTGCACCGCCCGCTCTACTATCACTTCCCTTCCCGAAGGTCCTCTTTTTCCTGCGCAAGGAGGACACTACGCTGGAGACAAGGCTCGACCGGCCTGCGGAGTCCCTCGTCACCGCACTTAAAGCTGTGCTGCACCCCACCGTGCATGGTGTCACGAAGAATGAGGGCCTAGTGCCAGGGCAGCTGACAGCCCCGCTGCGGCTGAGCGACTACCGCTTTCCCCCCGCCACGCTCGCACAGCTGGTGGCGATGCATCAACAGTTCCACACACGGTGGGATGAGACCGCCGCCGCTGTCACCGCCACTACCTCTAAACAGCTTTCTAGGGAGGCGAGCGGCAAGGAGGGTGAAAACACGGCGGTTGCCGAGATGGAGATGCACCGTGCATTTCGTACCTTTTCCACGGATCTGCTGCGGTTTATGACGCACCAGTTATTTCCTCCGTCATTGTGGACATCAACGACGCAGCGCATGGACACCGCTCCAGATGCTAGCGGGAGCGGTGGTGCTGATGTCTTTGGCCGCACTGTACACTTCATGTCGGTGGACGGAAACTACGACAGTTCACGTGACGCGCTCTACACACTGCTTGTTGATGGTATGTCTAGGCTGAGTGCCACTTCTGCACTACTGCTGCGCTGTGCATTGGATGTGGCGTTAGCATCAATGGGCGAGGCTCTGGAGCGTCTCTGTGTCTGGGTGCACAGCCATATTGTTCACGCCCCAACGTTCTGCCCAGAAGCAGAAAAGAATGCTTTCACACCCACACCCACATGCGCATCGCATGCAGCTGACGTAGCCACCCCAAGCAACAACAACGCCATTAATCACATCACTGCTAACACCATTTCCTCGCTCACCGATCCTGCGAATGCCGCTTCTTCCCCTGTTAAGGCAGAGGAAGTGCCGTTGCCTGAACGAATTGCGGCTGCTGTGGAAACCACGAAGCAGTCCTTCCTTGCCACGGTGCCCCGCCTCACCTTCGAAGAGGTGCAGGCAATGGTGGAGCACTTGGACGGTCAGGTCGAATCATTTGCCGAGTTTCAACGTGTTCTCTGGTTGTACGCGTCACATGTGCATGCGACGGCATTGGATTGCTTTCGCGTGTTTGTGCGAAATGTTAGCACCACCATCAGCAGCGGTAGCAGCGTGAGCCTCGAGGGATCGGGGAGCATAGAGGCAATAGCCCCACGCGTTACGGAGGTGCTCTTGGCGTACCTGCTCGCCTTCGCACCGGAAGAAGCGGGCGAATGCATGGATCGCCTCACCACCAGCAAGCCAATCAGCTCAAGTGCGATATCCGTGCCGATTGGGCGTGTTGTGGCCGCCATTCGGGCGTTGCGGCGCTGCTGCACAGTGGCTGGATTCTGTGCAGCTCGTTGGGTGGATGCAATGTACGCCACCGCTCTTACAGTTTCTCCTCACGGCAGCTTCCCAGCGCACTGTCGCCCAACTGATATCACCGACATCTTTACACCACCTGTTCTCGTCGCACAGGCAGGCACTGCACCGCCACCTTCGTTGATGCTGCAGCGGCTGTCAAAGATGACTCCTCCGTTTGGCTTCACCCCAGAGGAGGAGCGTGACTGCTGGTACGAAACAGAGATGGAAATTGTTCTGCAGCACTTTTCCATGTACCAAACACCGATGCTCGAACAGGAGGAGTTTTGTCACTGCTTGCTGCAGTCGCAGCTGAGCACACTGTGGAGCTGCCTGCCACCCAAGGTACATATGGTCGCTGAGCGACTCGGCATCTCCCTTCCCTTCCAACCACGCTTTGGGTGGGAGGATGGGAAACAGACCGATGAAAGAAGTGAGGAATTTTCAGGCGTGAAGAAGGTGGTGTCGTGGTGGTCGATGGCGCAGTGTATTGAGAGAGGCAAGTTGCAGGTGGTGACAGAGGAGATGGCCGTGCATATATTCCACAGAGCAGTCCGATCTCAGATGCATGCCTTGCCCAATGAAGGGTGCTCCTTTGACGTTGCGACAATGCCCCTGATGCCATCTGCATCGGCTGAGACGGTACCGGGGCAAAGGAGCGAGCGACCCATGTTACACCTGCGCGAGTTCTTTGCCAGCATCGTCCTGCAGCGGCTTTGTTTCGCCGACACAGAAGCGTGCCCGTGCCGTGCAACGGCAGCACAGGAGCCGTCAACGATGGAGATACGCGCTATGGTGAAGTCACTGCCGCGTGCGGTACGGGAACAGGGGTGCGGTGACGTGCCCGGTACGGCACCCATAACGGCGCGGGATTGGAAGCGCATCAAGTGGTGGAACTTCTTCCCTAGCCAGGTGCGTGCGAAGTCGGCAGCGTTCATCCAGCGATATTTGCTGCGTATTCTCACGGTGTGCTTCGGGTTTGTCAATGGGGAACTATGTTCTCGCTGTGTGCCGTTCCTTCCCGATATGTTGTCCATTGTGGCGAGAACAAACGGCGCGCAGGCGACAGTGGAGCGTTACTTTCACGCGCTGGCCGCCCTGAATGTCTCACGCAAGAAGAAGCTGAATCACTCCCAGAAGACTGATAATGCAAGAAATGCCCCTACAGATGCTGCTAATACTGCAAGTGTTGCTCCTACTGCTAATGCTGTTGCTTCGTCATCGGTCGGGGAATCAACAACGATATCGGACGGGCCGTTAATGGTCTTTGACATCATGTTGACCGTAGAGGAGGCTCTGTTTTACTTCCAGCGTGCCAATGAGGCAACACTGCGCGGCCCTTGCGCAATAGGCGTGGGCCACGGATTCCCCTATCAGCGCCGTGAGCAGTATTGCGCCGGGCATCATGAAGATGATAACACCAACGTTGAGGATGATAGTCTGCTGCTGCCGCTTGAGGCGGAGCTGACACTCCTGCTGGAGGTGGAAAACTCTGCAGCGTTGTCCTTGCCTCTGTTGTGTTCCTCGCACTGGGGGCAGCCGATCACGCCGAGGTTGACGGTAATTCCACCTGAGCCGAGCATACCGGCGGTGACAAGAGGCAGTACGGCGAGGATAGAGGAGAAGGGAGCGAACGCATTCCAGATGTCCGATGTGCCGACCGAGTGGACACTTGGTGCATTCATCTGAGGAGAAGGAGTGGGAGAAATATTACCCAGAAAAGCAGAACCAGCAGCAGCAGCTCATTTCGCATACAAACAAGAGAAGGAGCGGAAGCACGAACAGCAATGTTGCATGAGCGGGGATCATGTATGAATGTACAGGACGAACCAATCAACATATTTTTCCCATTGTGTCTTTTTGGTAATGTGAAGCATGCGTCATGCGAGATACCATGATTTAAAAGGCCCCTGTTTTACCGAATAGCGCAATAGAAAAATGCAGACGCCTTTCGGCATTTCGTTGTCCACTGTTAATTATTATTTTTGTGTTGCTTTCCTTTTGGCTTTCTATCCTTACCGTTCTAAGGTTTTTTTTCCCCCCTCCTTTCCCCCGCCCTCATTACGCGTTTACGCGTAGCGCACAACAAGGGGAAGGAAGAAGGTGAGTGAGTGTGTGTGTGTGTGTGTGTGTGTGTCTGTCAACCTCACCATCGCGTGGCGACGACACAAAGACCCCCCAACCACAAGATAAATAGGGAGAAGAGGGGAGTGTAGAAACTAGGCAAGAGGGAGACTGCAGCAGGGGAAGCTCCGGGGGCTCGTTGAACCACAGACGGAAAGGAAAAAGAGGGCAAAGACGTGATGGAAAGCTACAAAGATGTGATTCTCAGCCAGGCTCCGGCCATGTACGACAAGACGGCGCGCGCCCCCACCATCTCACTGGAGAACTACAAGGGCATCCTTCTCTGTGCACGCCCAACAAATCTCCCACACGGCCCGTCCACGCAGCTGCGCAGCGACACTGGGGGCCCCGGCTGCCTCGTAACCGCAAGTGGCGAGCCCGTGCCCGCGTTTGTTCCCGGCGGTGCGACGGAAAAGCCGGCGGGGCTGGGGCCTTCTGCCGAGGACCGTGCAACGATGGAGCGCAACAACCGCAAGCGGCTAGAGAACTACAAAAATCACCGAGCGAATGCGTGCACCGTGCTGACGCGTCACCGACGCTGGCTTCATAGTTTTGCACAGCAGGTGCGAAAGATGAAGGATGATGAGATACAGCGCGAGGTTGATCTCGCGCGGCGGGCGGAGCTGCTGCGACAGCAGAGCGCGCAAAGACACGCCGAGGCCGCCGCGTGCAGTCCTTGTGCTGGAGCGGGTGCAACAGCAGCAAGGGAGCTCCAGCAGCAGCAACAACAGCGACAGCAGCAACAAGCTGCCGCTGACGGTGAGCGTGCCGCACCATCTTCCGATGGCGAAAAGAAGAAGGGCAAGAAGAAGAAGAAGCCAAAGTGGGCTCTCACTGAGGACGAGGCGCTTGAGGATGAGCTGGAAGGGGCCAATGACCTGCTGGAGTTCGCCAAAAATCTCGACTACGAAAAGTTCATCAGCGACTACGAAGTGGCGGGCGCCCTCGCCATTATGCGAGAGCGGGTGGAGGAGATTGCGCGCGAGAACAACTGGAGCAAGGAGGCAATGGAGCATGCTGCGAGCGAGTCTGCCGATGACGGGATGGAATATGAGGACGACATGGAGGGCAGCGAGGCGGGCGCGGCAGGCAAGGAAAGGCCGCGCAGAGAGTATGAGGCGCACCCGCAGGTCATCTCCACAGCAGCAGCAGCAGCAGCAAGAAAGGCGGCGCCCTGCGGTGCGGCGCAGCACGAGAAGGGGTGGGACGCCTCCAAGAGCGTCGGCGGCGTACTGCGGCGCGCCATCTTCCGTGACACGCTGGTGCTGGCGGAGCGCATTCTCGCCTCCTCCGCGTCAATGCAGAAGATTCACACCAAGTTCAGTCTCGCGCGTGTGCTGCAGAAGTGCGTGCTGAATGGCACCGATGCGACAGAGGCGATGCAGAAGCCGTCAATCGGCGGCAGTAGAGGCCTCGACGCGGTGCCGCGTGTAGCGAAGGTGCACCCCGACGCGACAGGATTGGAGACGGGCGATAGCGGCGCCGATGCGGGCTCGCAGCGGGTGTTGGTGGAAATGCAGCGCTCAAAGGAGCGGACGCAGGGCCTGCCTTACTTGTATCGATGCCCAGCCATTTAGTTGCCTTGTTTTTTGTATCGCTTTGCCTGATGAAGATGTGGAGGTGGCGGTGGGGCGGTCGAAGAGGAAGTCAAATATCCAACAACATCAATGGGAGCAGCAGCGGCAGCGTGCGTCTACTGTGGATGATAGCACGGCAGATTCACGATGTTATTTCCCTTTTTTGTGTGTGTGTGTTTTCCGTGGTGGAGCGCACGGATGTGAATGGTGTGGAAGAGACGCGGTGCTGCTGCCACACCGAGTGGCGTTTTGAGTGCTGCCTCTGCCGCAGCGCTCTCCTGGTGGCGATGTATGTCTGTGGGCGCTTGCGGGCACAAGTGCCCAGTGCGAGGATGGAGAGAGAACACGAAGAGGAATGAACAGAAAGAAAAAGAAAAAAAAATGAAAAGAGAATGAACAACTCCCCCAACAACAACAACAACAAAAAAAAAAGAAAAAAAAAATCAGCTTGGCGACCAATGTAAAAGAACGACAAGAGGAAGTGGGGCTCGCTAGAAACGAATACCAATATATCACCTTCTCCCATGAGGATTCAATGCGCAGCGTGAAAGTCTGACTTGCTGCCTCTATTTGTGCGGCTGTGGTTTGCTCGTGTGTAGGAGGGAGGGAGGGAGGGAGGGAGGGAGAGAGGGCATTGCGAGAGGACGGGTGAGGCAAATGAGAGCCCCCTGCAGTTACTTTCATACGCACACGCAGATGCACGTGATTGGGACAAATAGACCCGAAGCTTCGGGCAGCTTGTCGAGTTGGGAGACGAAGTCCTATTGGCTCTCATTGCACCAAGGTGGCTCTCTGACTGTTGATGCTCTTGGTATCGTTTCTCTAAAGTGTAGGGGACTATTGCCGACTACCTCCCGCACATTCTTTTTGCCCCAACTCTCTCTATCTCTCTACCTCACACACTCATGCGCTTAACTTCTGGGCTCAACGCCGATTGTAGGTTTTATTCCCTGCATATCGAGAGCGAAAAAACAAAACAAAAAAGGAACCAACCAATGAGCTTGAACATGTACGGCTTCACTGGAGACGGGGGCAGTGGCCCCAACGCCGGCGGTNAACAAAACAAAAAAGGAACCAACCAATGAGCTTGAACATGTACGGCTTCACTGGAGACGGGGGCAGTGGCCCCAACGCCGGCGGTGCGGGTATGGGTGCGGCGGCCAGCAATAACAGCACCGGTGGCGGAAACCAGCCCCAGCGTCGCATGCACCCGATCCGCCCGGTGACGATAAAACAGCTGCTGGAGGCGCAGCGCGTCGGCGAGGGCGTGATGGTCGTTGACGGCCGCGAGGTGACGCAGGCGACCGTTGTTGGCCGCGTTATTGGCTACGAGGACGACGACGCCAATCGCGTGAGCGGCGCTCTCACGGCGAAGCATTACGGCTACCGCATCACCGACGGCACCGGCCTCGTGGTGGTGCGGCAGTGGATGGACGCCGACCACAACGAGGAGCCGCTGCCGGTGCAGTGCTACGTGCGCGCCTCCGGCACCGTGAAGGTGTGGCAGAACGCACCCATCGTCACTGGCACCGTGCGCCTCGTCTCGGACTGCAATGAGCTGAGTTATCACTTCCTCGACGCCATCCTCACACATCTGCGGCTAACGAAGGGCAATAAGCACGCCAAGGAGGACGCGGTGCCGGCGGTTAGCAACAGGGCGAGCACGCTAGGTGTGCAGAACATGTTGCCGGGTGGGGATGGCAAGGTGTTCGCGACAGATGTGCTGCTCAACGCCATTAAGCAGAATGCGCGTGGGGATGTGGGGCTGACGATGGACGAACTCACCGCGGCGGCGCGGCAGTTTGGCTTTAGCGTTAGCGATGTGCGCGCCGCGCTGCGGACGTTGGCCGCAGAGGGGAGTGTCTACCAAACACACGACAACCGTTTCAACATTTAAGCAGTGTAAAAATGAGGATACAGAGACGGAGCGGAACGGAAGAGAGGAGAGGTAAGATAGGCAACGGCACAAGAGCGTTGGCTGTTGCAGCAGTAAGGAGCGAAGAGGAGACAATGAGGCAGGGGGTGAAGGAGTAAGAATATATATATATATATTTATAAACACATACATGCATACAATGACCAATAGATGGTGCGCATACACAATAACCATTCAGACGTTTCGAACTGCTCTTTGTTTGGGGGAGGAGGTACCGAGAGGAGAGGAGAGGAGACGCTACGGGGTGGTTTTCTCTCGTTTCTCATTTCCTCACACCACGAAGAGCGTGGCACACAGAGACAGATAGACAGCGTTGTTCGTCGCCGTGCACGTGCACGCGAGGGAAAACACAGCGAGTCTTGCACCGCCGATGATGCGCTGCAGCCCGTCCTCCTAACCTCCTCTGATATTTCGCTTTTTTTTCACACTGCAAAAGAGTATCTCTTCTGCTCGGATTACACACACACACTGACCGAGAGGCATTGGTCTACGCAACTCATCTGAGGCACACCAACTCTCTTAGGTTCCTTTCATTCTCTTTGCTTTTTTGCGCGTAGTCACGGAAAAGGTAGAAGGACTCTCACTTCCACTACTCGTTTGATTCGGAATATTTGCTTCATAATCCATGATGCGCCGCGTTGCTAGCCAGCTTCTCTGCACCGCTGCCGCCGCCCGGTTCGCCGCGACGAGTGGGGCGAAGAAGTACGACCTGTTCGGCTACGAGGTGGACACCAACACCGCGCCGTGGATCGAGAAGATCAAGAAGTGCAAGTACTACGACGAGGCGGG